GGCTTTGGCTTGAAAGCTCAGCTGCATTCAGGGCTGTATCCTGCAAAAAGACATTTTTAAGTGAAGAGTCTGAAGGAAAAGGTTAGCAGGTAACTGTTCTTATTGGCATCATTATCCAGGTGACGGCATTTCCTGCTCTCACTGCAGCCCACGGAATTGCCAGGGTAGTGCCTCAGAGCAGCAGCTGTGGAGTCCTGCCACTCATGAATTTGTCACGCTGTGTGCTGTGGTGATCTAAAAGCTTAACAGTTTTGAGGTGGAAAGGAGGGGAAACTCTCATTCGGGCCACCATCTCATTTCCAAACCTGAACAGCCACTCATGTTTTCCTCCGGGGAAGGCCCTGCCTGGGACAGATACCAGAGCCTTGGTTAGCCTGACTTTTGGGGAGTTTTGTGATGGCAGTGGCAGGAGTTCACCTACCGAATAAACCCCTTCTTCCACATTCCTCTGTTTTGTTACAAAAGTTTGCCAGGCTTTTCCGTAGGTGGCGTTTCCCAGCTCCAGTGCCTGGGACAGCTGCTGTCTGGGGACAGGGATGGAAGCTGTGCTTCCTCGGTGGCCGACTGCCATCTGGGAACTGCAGGGTGTACTGAGCCACGTCCCGCTGCTGTTTAAATTGGTCATCCCTGCACACTCCAAAGGTTTTGCAGGAAGCGCCGAGCCGGGCTGTAGCTCACAGTCCTGCCGCTCCAAGCAGCTCCGATTTTATGGAATAGGAGCCCTCTTGTGGAGGGCTATCGTTTGTCGGCTCTGCAACATTTCTGCTCGACGTTTAAGATTAAGAATGGGTGGGGAAAAAAAAAATCAGTAAATAGTTTTTCTTTGAATCCCTCAGGTTCCTTACCCCGTGCATTCCGCACTGCAGACTCCGCTGTTCGTTGTACAGCAATGCTTGTGGCACTGACCCTTTGGCTCTCTGCAAGGGGATGGCAGCAGCAGAAAAACTCTGCTCGACAGGACTGACAACATAATCTCATGTGAATGAAGTCAAACAGAAGCTGTGGGGTGCTCTCGTTACAACGGGGTCGCTGGAACCCCGGCCTGGGAGGACCCTCTGTGCTCCCGCAATGGGGCAGAAGAAGAAGGTCGTCGGCATCGACACACCAGTTCAAGGCTTTGGGAACCTGTGGCTTTGACGCTGCTTCTGTGGGAACCAGGGGCCTGCCTACCCCTTTAGCAACGCAGAGCTGCCCTTTGGGACCCCCCGGACCCTGACACACAAGCTCAAGTCAGGCTGTGCCTCCATGTTGGGACTGGGAGAAGCTAAAACTTCTTTTATATTCAGCCTCACACGAGTTCTTCGTGCTGGAGGACTTTGGATTTGAACCTGACCATTACGGATGTATGTCCCTTCCCCCCTAAAGAGGCGATAACACTCACGTTTTTCATGAAAAAAACTTCACCTTGGAAGTGAGTCTCTCTGCCTCACGCTTATTTGCAGTGCTATGAGACTTTTTAGGGAACGATACACACTGACAGCACAGCTAACAGCCAACAAATATTGCTTACCCACAGCAGCAGCACAAGTTCTCGTAGCCTTTCTCTCCTGACAGGATGACCTTGCCAACCCAGCCAACACAGCCACTCCATTAAATTGCTGTGTGAGGGCACACGTGTGCATACAAATGTACAAGCTTTTATGTGCATTCCTTCCTACCCACACCTGTAAAGCCCCACTGACATTTGTGTTAAAGTCAGTGGTTATCTCGCATATCTGCTGTAACGAAACGTAACTCAGGGCCCTGCTTCATAAACATAGGTCTGCTTGTGTTGGTACATCTGCCCAGGGACACTTGTTAGGGGAGGCTCTGCAGGTTCTTGAGAGTCTCTCACAGCAACCTAAGGACTCACTTTGCACTGAATGTTGCTGCTTTCTGCCAGTGTCCTCTCCACCCAGCCAGGACTTGAAGGATTTTCCCTACAGGATGCTAATACTGGACAGGACTCATCTGATCTGGCTGACGTTCTTGCCTACCGTGTAGGAAAAATTGATTTCTCATTTTGAGGGGGAAGGAGGAAAAAGCCCCAACAAGCTTCCTAAGCAACTCTGCATACTAACCTAACTCAACCCTGCCCTGAGTTTTACAGGTATGTTTTTCCCTTCTGCTCTGCAAGCTGTGCTCATTCCCTTAGTGCTCTATGCATGTTATCAGGGCAGACCAAAGCCTGAAAGCACCTCTGTGGGATGTATTGTTGCCTGAGCTGTTTATCTTCCTAGGACACAGCAAGGACATATTCCATCCGTTTCACTTTTTTTTCTAGAGGCTACATATTGTGAGAGAAACTGCTGGAGAAAATAGGAAGATTAAAGTGGTTTATAGAATATTGAGTTATGAGATCAAGTCACTAGTAAAAAATAAGGCACTGCTCCCCTTCTACTCCTGCAGAGTTGTTTTGTCCCATCTTTTTTTTTTTTACTGCTTTCCCATTGTACAAAGTGTAATGGGAACTCCAGAACATTCTTGCAGAGGAGTTTTTGACAGAGAAAAGGAGATAAGCTGGGTGATAAGGAAACAATACTCTGCACTTGTGTGTTCTGGTTGCAAACAGAACATAAATGACAGAAATCAGTGTTTCCAAGAGGCAGCCTGACCCTACTGCAGGGTGTATGGGCAATGGTGTCTCACACTTTTCAGGTTTCCTCTTCTTTCAGCCTATTCTTGTTCCTTCCAGCACAAACTACCAGCTTCTTGCAGGCTGACCACCTCTTCTGGCATTCACTTCCACCTCTGCTCATTTCCAGCACCATCCTTCCCTAGAACCACAATGCAATTCCACCCTGCCAGCCACACCACAGCTCTGACAGTTGTACCAGCACGTTTTCCCTCTTCTTTCTCCACTTCTGCTCCTGACTGATGACTGTGCAGCCTCCTGGAGAAAGGTTTGTCTTCTGCACTGTGCCAAACCTTTCTACATCACCACAGACTCCAGCGACACTTTTGGTAACTCATTCTAAAGGAAACCAAGTTTCACTGACAAACATGTCCACAGTTTTTACAGTCTTGACGGGCAGGTTGTTTGGTTTGTTTTTCCTTAAGCACTAATACCCTGAGTCATGTTTTCTATTGCCTTATGCTGTATTCAGTGAATTGCACACAAATGGTTTCTGTGAGACCTTCTCAGCTTAATATCTGGGTCATTGTAGCAGGTGAGCTGCTCTGTTTATCATGGGTTTTTTGTACATAACATGTTTTTTAACTAATTAAAAAATTAATTGTAAACTCAGTTTCCTTTCCTCAGTAACAAAAGATGTCTGTCCATGTGCTGAGAAGTGGTAGGGCCTTTCAGTTCTTCATGTGAGCCTCTGCCACTGTTTCACAGCTGCTAAAAACACACACTGTGTAGCATCAAGGCAGGTGATGCAGGGGTTGACAAAGCTGTACTGGGTACAGCTGGCACCAAGCCACAGCTCTGTCTGGTGTGCTGGCAGCAGTGACAAAATGGCACTCGGGTACCCAGCTTGTGACTTCCACGAGCTCATGTCTGCCAGTTTGCCAGGGATTAACTGAGCAGTGCAGCTACAGGTTGTCCTTCTCCCTCCAAGCAGGAGGTTCTCTGCTAAAGTAAAATCCAGGGGTAAGAGGTTCTCACTGTACCCCTGTCACTTGTGTCACCTGCTCTGAAAGTGGAGGGATGATAACTTCAGTGCTGTGTTTTTCCTGGGGGTGGAGGGAGTGGGGGTGTGCAGAATCCCTTACATGTGTATTTAAAAAATAAGCTCTGAACCAACTCCTCACTCCCCATTCGGACAGTGACTTTTAGGGTACAAAATTAAGAAGTGCAAGGAACTAAATTCAGCGTGAAACCAAGAAACAAATGGCTGCCAATCCTGAGTGCAGCTGGAAGTCTCTGCCTCCCCTTGCTAAAGTGCAGCATAAGGACATGTAGCAGCCCTCCCTTCCTCCCTTGGAGAAAATCCACACAACTGCTACACCTTGGCTCTGCCTGCCCTCCCACAGGAGAACGTCCCTGCATCAATGGTCAGGCACAGGAAAATTAGTATTCTTTAGACATCACATCAAAAACCACCAAATAGGAACAGAGACAGCAATGACACAGCTAATGTCACCAGAGCTGCTGCACAGATAAGAGTGAGGGATATTGGGTGGGGATGTAATAGCAAAAAAAAAGGAAAAAAAAAAGAGAAAAGAGAAAAAGATAAGACATCGCTGTGTAAGCACAATGGCAAAAAGGTGATTCAGAAAGGCCTGCTATTTCCTTTTTTGAGGGGGCAAAGGACAACAACACTGCTGTCACCAATGCATGCAGAGGCTAAAAGAGGAAGAGGGAGAGAGATATCCACACCTCTGCTTATTCAGATCTTTCACTTACACATAGAAAAGATCAGAGCTCGTTGATGACAACCCTGAAACACAGGTATTTGTTCAATGGAAAAACGAACAACACTGGGATGTTTAAAAAATTAAATGCTCATTTCAGAAGTCAGAAAACACAACACCTTCTTGAAAGCAAACAGTGCCAAAAATCTGCTTTGGGTGAGTGGAATATGCTCTCCGGGATCGACTGTTCATATTTCAATCAACAGCAATTATCTCTAAAAGCATTCAACCAGAACAGACTTGACTACTCTTTTCCTGTGGGAAGTAGACCCAAACCCCCTGCCTGGATGTAATTCCCTTCAGTAGCAGAAAAATCTCCAACAAAGAAAGGGAACCAGAATCCTGGTGTTCTGCTTTGAGGGAACAGTGATGGCCCTCCTGAGTAGAGACCATTTTACATCAACTACAGCCCTACCCACAGATAACAACTAACAGCTGATCTCTGGATCAAAATAACAGACAGATCTGGCACTCTCCTGGCTATTGCCTTTATTACTGGATAAAGGGAACATCTGATACTGCCACCAGGCTTTATTGCTCACTGGTGGGATCTCAGCTAGAGCTCTTCTCATGGGATATCACTCAAGGATGCTTCTCTATACTTCTCTGTACTAACATGAAGTACATACTGTACTGACATAAAGAGCTTATGGACACAATCACCACTGCTATATGGCTTTATTGAGTGTCTTGAACCACATTTCCCCAAAAGGTCATCCCCCCAATTTCCAACTTTCAAATGAAATTAGAGGCCTTTTTACTGTTAAAACTGTCCACAGTGCCAAGTTTTCCACCATCACCACCAGAAATAAGTCATCTTTTCTGTGGCCTGCTCAGACTTATATTGAGGAACCCAAAACATGCCTTTTTCAGGGCATTTCCATATCATTCCCAGCTCCTCCACCCTTCCTCAACATTGACTGAAAAATACCCCAGGTATTGTAACACCCACAGTCAGTAAGTTCTTCAGGTGCTGCCTGAAGACAGCTTTCACCAGAGCACAGTTAATGTTTGGAATGGGGGTACCTTTAGCACACAAACTATTCACAGGCCCCTTTACCTTGAATATTTCTACATTGCTGGTGGTTTGGACACTTTGAGCAGTGAAATGGGTCCTTAGACGAGGCTCTGGAGCTGCCCTCACTCCCTGCCAAACCCAGACAACACTTCCCAGTGTGCAAAGTCGGATTTCCACCTTCTCAGGTGGAACAGGCTTGGCCCTTCTGAGCTCCCGTGCAGTGATGTGCGTCCATGAGCAACGTTCTCAGCAAAAGGCTTTTCCACAGCATATGAGTGTGTTCACAGAAGAGTTCCACCATTCCTTGACTGAAGACTTTCACGAGCAGAATCAAAATGCTTTGTATCTGTAAGACCCCAGTCCCGAAGCCACAGGCTTAACTGGGAGTATTACTTTTAAAAAATATACAAAGAGCTTGCCCAACTGAATTTTTCAGTCTTCACTTCTCAATACCTTGAGACAGCCTAAAGAGAGAACGCAGCACACATTTTCTCAGGAGATACTTTTAATATGGGAGGAAATAAAGATCTTGGCAAAAGTTTAAAAGGGCTTAAACACTTGCCAAGTTCGCTTATTTTCTCCCCTCAACTATCAGTAAAAGCACCTCTTGAGGAAAAGTGTGTGGCTTCTTCTCTTTACACTATCTCAAGGTATTAACTCTGCAAAAGTTCATTGGGCAAAACTTTTGGAGTCTTGTATGTTTTTTAAAGGTAATAATCCCAGTCAAGGTTGTGGCTTTGGGACTGGGGTCTTACAGTAGCTTCTTACTACAGAGATCTGGGGAAAACTCAGTAGCTCCTAAAGCCTCTTGCTCAGTCCATCTTCAGCCCTCCCTGGGCATTGTTTTCCGTTTGGCCCAAGACTTCAGTCACACTGAGCCTGGATTGCCTAAGGAGAGAAGAGAGAGTGCAAAGCAATTTTGTGCCTGTATCCTCCTGACAAAGGCATGGCTGCAGAATTCCAGCTCCTGAAAAGTTTATTCTAGAACTGACACTGTCAGTAAGTCACACAACCAGTGTCATGGTCTTTTTTCCTCCAAAGCCTCCAGCTATCCCTCTTTCCTCTCTTTAACAGGGATGGAAAGAAGGTAGCAGTGAAGGAAAAGCCAGAGTTCTGGCCTCTCTCACTTTTGGTAAAGAAATACTGATGTGCTTGTCCCGCTTGTCCTCTCGGACACTGCGAAAGTGAGAAACTGATGCAGTTACTGGCCAGGGCAGGGCATGAATTTTGAACAGAACACCTCGTTACAAAACAAGCAGCAACATCTAGGGCTGGGAAGACTAAACCAGAAGTTCTCAGACTGGTATGTGAAACATATCAGAGCAGGAGAACAACCAAGAGCAGGAGAACCGAGGAGTGTTGTGGAGCCTTTAAATGTTTAAACTACCCTTGGAGCTGCTCCTTACCACTCTGCTCCTTACCACTCTGCTCCTTACCACTCTGCT